GCATTATGAATTGCTTGGACTTCAACTCCCAAGCTCAACTCTGGATTTTGAATGGTAGTTATAAACTATGCTTGATGAACTCAGCACCTGTGAAGATTAGGCCACCATCCATTTTTCACCTTGAGTCATGCATTACAATGAAAATCAATCAGACTTTTTTTCCAAATCAGTGCTTTTTTTACCAAGTTGACACAACACTGTGCTGTAACATGAATGAGACTCATATGCAGACTATCAACTTCAGGCACCTATTTAGGGTTTGCTGTGCCTAAAGGCTGGGCGGGTACTCAGCCTCAGCAGAATGATTTCAAACACCTACATGAAGAGCCCTACCTCCCTCCTACACAGTCAGAGTACATTCTAAGTGCTTCTGAAGGCTTCCAAAAAACAAGTCAAAGGGTCTATGTTGGGATCACCATACCACTGACTATGCTAGGAGTGCTTCCATATGACTATTCATGGTGTTGGCACATGCACTTATTAATCCTGTATTGTTGTTGCTAGTATATGGCAGTTCCCAGAAAACATTAAAGAGTACAAAATCTTTTTGATTCTGTTCAACAAGCACATAATTACCTAAATGTTACTGACATTGAAAGCATGGAGCTATGAGGGTGATCAGAGTAGTGTGACAGTTTTTCCGATGGCAAAGCATGTTATTAAACCACAGAAAACACTTCTAAGAAAGGACACGATATTACAGAAATAGTAAATCAAGCCTTGTGCATAACTTTTGCACAGAGCCATGAAATGAAGCTACAAACTTATAAATTTTTTGTTGGTGACATCTAATGTTTCAGAATAGTGTAATTTTTAGCCCATTCATTTGGGGTAATCATAAATGGCTAGAGTTTGCATGAAGAATGCATAATACTGTGACAAACAGGGAAATATCATGACAATTTTAATGGCTTGTGCATGCCTATTTTCTATTTCTTGGTAATAGCTTATTTGCTGTGTAATTAAATCAAAGACTGCTCTTAAGGAAGAAGAAGAAATTAAAAAGTGGCAAAGACAAGACTTTAGCCCAAAGTAAATAATGTCAAAGATCATAAGATAATGGCAGATGCCTCATCAGTTGTGAAATAAACACTTTCCAGATTGACGTTTAGGATGAAAACATGTCCTGAATTGTAAAGATGTTGGTATTAGGAAAGGGAAATTGTTTCTGGATTGTCAGAATGGCTGATACCCCTTTGTAGGGAGACTTGCAGGGGTATGTCTAAATCTGTATTAAGAGACACTTTGGCCTTGTCGAGACTGGATTCATGAGCTGCCCAAGCAACAGGCTTGCAAGGCCTGTTTAGCTGTTCATAGAGGCTCCTGGAGAGAAAGAAGGACCTGTGCTAACTGTAGGAAGTCCTGGCAGAGTGTCTGGATTCATGTAGAGAAGCTGCTGCCTAAGGTTGCCTGTGGAGCCTGCTTGGACATTGAGGTGCTGGAGCGTGTTCAGAGAAGGGCAACGAAGCTGGTGAAGGGTCTGGAGCACAGGCCTTATGAGGAGCGGCTGAGGGAACTGGGGTTGTTTAGTCTGGAGAAGAGGAGGCTGAGGGGAGACCTTATCGCTCTCTACAACTGCCTGAAAGGAGGTTGTAGCGAGGTGGCTGTTGGTCTCTTCTCCCATGTAGTTAGCGATAGGACGAGAGGAAATGGGCTCAAGCTGCGCCAGGGGAGGTTTAGGTTGGATATTAGGAGAAATTTCTCCATGGAAAGGGTAGTCAAGCATTGGAACAGGCTGCCCAGAGAGGTGGTGGAGTCACCATCCCTGGAAGTGTTCAAAAAACGGGTAGACGTGGCACTCTGGGACACGGTTTAGTTTAGTCTACCCTTGATTGGTTTAGTGTGGACTTGGTAGTGTAGGTTAATGGTTGGACTGGATGATCTTAAAGGTTTTTTCCAACCTAAATGATTCTATGATTCTATGATTCTATGGACCATGCACAGCCACGTCAATGGAGAGCAGGAGATGTGGCCGAAGGGTATGGGGAAGGATGAAGAAGCAGATGACTGCAGGGCTAGGCATGAGCTGTCACCAGAGTGTCTACCTGCCCCAGTTAATGGTGGGGAAGGCTCTCTCTGGGAACAGGCAGCAGCATAGAGTGGGGCTCATCAGAGGCCATAGCTTAGCCCCGTCTGGGAACTGGCAGGGATTTTAACAGCTGGAGCTGCTGAAGCAGCCAAACTGCCCCAACACAGCCCTGACCTCAAGGATGAACTCAAGAGGGACAGAAGCAATATAAGTACATCTCACCTCGTAACTATGTTGTACACAACATAAGCTTCCACTGGAAAAATTCATCAGAATGTGAACTTTGATTTCGGGGGCGGGGGGGTAAGCTGGATTTTTTTTTTTTTTTCAAAATTGTTACTATGCATTTCACAAACTTTTTCCCAAGTCTGCTCAGTATTATAAAGAAACATGAATGTTTCCCATGTGAATCAAACAAGGTTTATAGCTTTTCACAAGTTTTATTGACATGTGGAACCAAGTGCCTGCCATAATGAAGGAAATTCATGTCAGTGGGAATATTAGAAAGAGAAAAAGAAGGTGATTTATTAGAAGCGGTATCTCTTCTTAAAGCTGGCTTAAATTTATAAGATTTTTCCAGAGTCTGTCTAAAGTTTTTACCGATTTTTGTATCCACATGTGAGCAACATGGAATACTATACTCGCACCACGCTTCTCAAAATGGTTCTGCAAAGACATACTGTGTTAAGGAAGCCTTTTTATTAATGACACTGTACTTGGCAAACGACCCAGGAACCATATCAGCAAGAGAACCATTCAGAAACATGTTTATTTTAAACTTTCAAGTTGGAGTCTCCTGTTTCACTGGGTTTACATGGTTGTAGCTCTTGTGACCCTAGCAGAATTATTCCTAATTTATACTGGCATAACTGAGCAGATTCAAACCTTGGAGAGCCACTGGAAATACCAGTAGCATAAAAAGCTCTGGTTTTAGTATGGCACTTAGAAATGAGCTGGGAGATTTCAGCACTGGGAGAAGTAACTGGAGAGGCTTATCAGACATGACAACTGGAAAGCTAGTGTCATGGAACACTTAGCATCTTCGGAGATAAGAGTTTTAGGTAGTGAATATACCTATCAAACTAATTACATAGTTTATTTTAGCTAATTACATTTTTGGGCAAGGATCCAAATGTTAGTTAGGCAGGATAGGTGGAGAGACATATATATTATCTGTAAGATAAGCCGAGTCAGTAGCAAAGCTTGCGAAAGAGTGCGAGAAAAGAGCACTCGTCATCATTGTAGGCACAATTTACAGTAATAGCATGGAAGGGGAGATTTCAAAGTTTTGTATGAAAATTTCACTTTTACAGTGTTAAGCTGAAATTTTTTAAGGTTGCATTTAGTCGTTTCATGTGTACATGAAGACATTATTAATTTGGCTATAAACCATCTTTCTTTCTATATTAAGTTGATCTGTCAAAGATAAAACCTCCTGCTCTTCAAAGCTACCACAGATGTTCCACATGGATGTACCAGTTCAGCAACAGTCAAAAAAGAAAAGATATTCTTGAGTTCATTACAAGCTAGCCGGAGTCATCAAAATAAATTATTATGGCCAAATATTAAATCTATGAAGACAACAAAATGCAGCAATACCAATTCCTGAAGATGCAGCCTAGTACAATGCTGTTTATTCTAAGATAGCATTCCTATTAGATTTAAAAGGTACCATGAAATTTATGACTGACAAAGAATATTTTTCATCTTTAATTTACAGTCTGTGTGAAAAAGGAACTTGAAAAAAAATGTCCTGCAGTCATTTGTCTCTGATTGTGCCTCAAATTTGCTTATAATAGAAGCCTCTGAAATGGTTTACTTGCAGAGTTTCTGGATGACTAAGCCTATGTTTTAAATAACAGCATGAATGTAGGTAAGGACACGGGACTGGGAAGAAATCTCCTCCATTACTGAAGGTTACTGAATCCCATCCTTTTTCTCTATTTCATATGTAGCTTTTCCATTTTACACTCTTCTTGATGAAGCAGAGACATGTTGAAATACACTGACCTTGAGTGAAATTCTTCACCTGGGCACTTGGACTTTATGCAGGTGAAGACAGATGGTTTTGGGGGAAAAAACACCTACTCTCAAGACAGGTTTCCTGTATTTCATGTGCCTTAGAGACATACACGACATAGGGGCATTCACTGACCCTGCCTTCCTTGCTCCATTCCCACTCCAGCGCATTTTAAGTTTTTAATACTTCTTGGTCATGCATCAGTCCCTGTTCTCTCATGTATTGAGGTACACTGGGCACTTCTGAGATTTCTAGTTAGTTCTCAAAGGGTAACTGCAGGGGCAGTGTTAGGAAAGCGTAGAAGATGCATTTTTTTTCAGGCAAATAAATACAGTAAGTTGGCTTAAGCTCCTATTGCAAAGGAACACTGTAATATTTTTATGGCTCTGAGGTTTAAGTTGGCAACTGATCCATGATGGATGTCAGGATGTCATCCTCTATTCATTTCTGGCAAAAAGGTACTTCGTTTATTTTCACCTGTAACAAAGTGCTGGATCATTCCACAGCCTCCTTAGTAAATGAAATGGATCTTCTCCTTTGTCTTCAATTTCAGGTTGATCCATAGTGGTAAAAAAATAACAATTTATTATAACTTCAGCATCTTTTGATTCTGCCATTACAACTGTTAGCTCACCACTTTCCTTTAAGACAGAGAATGTGATGAAAAACAGTGAGACATCAGGAATAGACATACTGGTACTAAACGATTAATTTGTTTGAAGAATAACAGGGCTTTCTTCCTTTCTAACTTCTGCTGTTTACACTGGGGACTACTCAGGCCTTGAGTGTGCAGACACAGACAAGTGCATCATATAGTTTGTAAACTCATGAAGCTCTGTCTTATTTGATTTGTAGTCCTTATTTTTCCAGAATCACTGTGAAGGCGGTTAGAAAACACTAAGGAAGAGATTTTTAAATGCTGCTTGTTTAGTCTGCTCTTGTATTTTGCAGCTGACACCAGTCTTGGAACAGATGATGTTTATGATGATAAAGGGTGCCAGTGTGATGTGTCAGTAGAAGATCTCACCCCTGCTCTTAAAACTGTCATCAGAGCAATCAGGTGAGTAAAAAATACTGAATGAATAAATATTTGAGATTTCTTTAACTAAGGTACTAATTAACTGCATGTCAATTAATAAAATGGTAGTTAGTTGAACTTATTACATGGCTGTATTTGTTACATAACTAATGCTAATATAGTTTATTTATGCTTCCTTTTCAGCAGTATTTTATTTATAAGTTGAAATATTTTACCTGTTCTGTTACCAGCTTTTCAATGTCTAAAAAAGTTGCATGATTTGATTCAGAAAAGAAAGAGAGTAATGAATGCTGGTTTCCACTATATTTCCTGCAATCCAAATTACTGCAATCCAGTTTGATCAGTTTTACTGAATGTATATCACCTTGCCAGGAAAAGTTATTTCCTCTGAAAGGTTTGGGGTTTATTGCATTTCTGTATTCCTGAAACTGTCTGTCATGTGACTTTTATTTCAACTTTCTTCTTGTAACAGCAGAATAATTACATTCATTCAATTGTGAAAAGCCTTGCCTGCCACTATCCATTGAACTAAATATAAACCAAATAATTTAAAACTAATAGTCTCTTTCTTTTCCAAGAAAGTAGCAAACTGCATTGAAACTTATAAAATTACCTGTACTGAAAGCTTAAACTTAGCATTCACCCTCCTGAGACTGCCAAGGCTCTTCATCTTCCTGAATATTTTGAAGTGCAAATCCTGACAGGTCAAATCCCCACCGTAAAGAGCACATTGACAAGCAAGGAGATCTCATGCATTCCCTCTCTGCTGACAAAAAACCCAAGGTTATTGCTGGGGGTCACCCCACTGGCTCTGCATCACAGTCACATCAAGTGCCCAGCACCCTTCTTGCAAGCAGGCAGCAGCCACAGGGGATTTCTGCAAAACCCTATGGAAAGATGATGTTTTCCTGCAGGGAGACTCTCGCCTTAGTTTTCTCAGCACTATGGGAAGAAAGAACTCAAGCTCTTAATCAAATAATTTCATACAGTGATAACCTGTGGGCTACTCGTATTTCCTTCCACTTTCCACTGATTGCTAACGAAGACAGATAGCGAGTCAGGTTGTTTCTAATAATTTTCTACTAGCACAGACAGCTTGACAGATCACTTGCAGATGTCTGTTCCAACCATTTTTCCAACCAGCCTGGAAATGACCTCACAGGACATGTCAGATACCAGGTCCGTGTCCACAGCCACTGCAACTGGCAACTGAAATGTCACCACCAAGAACCATCTCTTGCCAGCAATGTTTCAGCAGGTGACAGAAATCCTTCTACACAGCGGACACCCACCTACAAGGCAGACCTGTTCCTTCAAACAGAAAATGCTCAAATTAGGAACAATCAGCAATCTTTGGCTCTGGTGCCAAAGATCTGTGTCTGTGGTGTGGCATTTTAAACAGACTGGTTGACTCTTGGCTCCAAGCACACCTTGCCACTGTACTGGCAAGCGATACCAATGGTCATCTCATTCTTAATAGTGTCCAAATTCCTTAAGATCAGCTTGACATTTTAATACTAAATTCACAGAGCTTGTTTTCAAAGGCACCAGTGGATTGTTCAACGCATCACCTGCATCTTTGCTTGGTTCTCTTGGTAATTATCAGCTCAAATGGAAATTAACCAAATGTGAAGGACGTAGTTGGCAAACTTTCTCCACAGTGCCATCCACAGCAATGTTCCAATAAGAGGAGCAAAGATGCAACAGTTTGAATGTTTCAGACATGCACTATTTAACTGATAAGAGTCAACTTTTTAGATTATCTCCAACTTTTTCTCTGCACACTTGGCTTACCAAAACACAACTCATTTCACCACTGAGGTTGAGAATAAGGATTCTGCATCTCCACTTGCTATCAATTAGCCATGAATCTCTCCCATCTCTCCCTGCAAATGTTAGTGTTTCACTAGATTGCAAGCGGCACATATGTCTTTGCTTCAGAAACATACCTTTGTTTGAGATCCGTAAAGCAGTAATATGCCATGATCTTCAGACTTCTGTTAAATGCTATACCTTAATCTCTCAAAAACAAGAGACCGATAATTCCGTTTGTCAGGTAGCCGATACTCCCCTTTCTGATTATTCAGAGTATCTGTTACCTGACTACACTGGGATCTATGCAAACATCTGAAGAAGGATCTGAGACACTATATAGTAACTGTAGAATTTGAAGATGATAACATCTGCCTATATGGAAACTCTGTGCCTCATTTTGAAGTTTGTTTTTAGCAACAGCTTTGAATTGCAAAGGCAATGGGGGAGGGTGGAGGCTGTTTTTCCTTTCTTGCTGGTATACAGGAGCAGATGAAGACAGAAGGTACTTGAATAGCTTCATGAGGCACTATTCAAAAGAACCCAAATGTAAGCACATACATTTGAATCCATTCTGGCTACTTCACCTTGAAAAACTGCAATAAGGGAGAGTAATTATTTTTTTCTGCTTAGAGCTGGGTACAAATTGTTTTACAATGATAGAAATGGTCCTTTTATTTTGGGGAAAAAAATGAAATTAGCAAAATTAATTCATGCCTGAGGGTTTACAGAGGTAGGGCCTCTCAGTTTTGGAATCAGAACTGTTTTTTTTTTCCTGTGAAAGGAGCCTAGAATATGCTGGTTACTCTCAGGTTGGACAGCCTTGAAATAGCAAAAGACAAAAACTGGTTTATTTATAATCTTTCATTTTGGTAATTTCAAAGTGTACTGCTCAGTTTTGACCTTGCTTACTTACATTTTTCTGAGGACTACTTTATTCTTCAAAACAAACTTTTGATTTTAAACAAACAAACCCCCAAACTTTCATTTTGAAATGGTCAAAAAAGGAGGTGGAGAAAATAGTCCTTTCCTGAAAAAGTTCTTAACATATTGGCCCTTTCCAAAAATAGGACTCCCAGCCAGTCCTACTGAAGACCCACTGAGCAGACCTGTCTGGTAACATGTCAAGCTGTCAGCCTTCTCTCAAAGCCCCTCAAGCTGAGTCTTGCACAGCCCATCTCTTGTGCTACCCCCTCCTACTACAAACTCTCTGTCAGGAAAGATCAAGTGAGGCAGTAGGGGAAGTAAGGAAAAGCTGCCCGATGCATTTGCACGATGTTGGGTGAGTAGGGAACAGATGGGTAGCGTGGTGAAACATGGCGTGCTCCACAGCGTTCCTTAGGCCAGGCCAGCATCAGTCCTCCTCCTCTGCAGCCTCCGGCTGGCATCAGAGCAGTGCACAAAGCAGTTCTTCCCAGTGGTACACTGAGCCTTTGTGCCAGCAGGTTTTGTAGCACTACTCAACCAGCCCTAGTCTTGTCGTGAACAAAAAGCCACTAACATCCTTCAGAGTTCCTGGAGACTAACAAAAGACATTGCATTTTCCAGCTCTCTCTGTTAGTTCACAATGATGAATGTATATAAAAGAGACTAAAAAGAAGATAAGGATACCTTGTTTCCATATATTGAGATATCTCTGATCGTTTTTCATAGCAAGAGGCACTAAATTCTATAATACTCTCCACAATGGAAATGATGAAATTATTTCACTATTTATGGAATATAAAATTAGATATGAGAAGCACAAATAAATATGCAATAGGAAATAACTGCAATGGCAGGAAGATGAACGTGCTGACCTAGGAGGTCTTTTCTCTCTTTAACTCTAGTGATTGCATAGATATATTTTCATTTGTTGTTAATAAGAAATAATAATAATAAATGTAGCTAAAGGTAATGAAATTTGAGAATTCTTGAGCTGATAAGCTATATAGTTGAATAGTGTTACATATTTAATAGCCAAAGAAGGAAAATATCATTTACTATTTACGTTCAGTCTTTGAAATGTTTCTGCTACACCTATAAAATGTATTTTTAGCAGCCATTATGAATTTGTTCAGTAGTGGTGCTTCAGAATCCTGTATTTCTTTTAAAGCCCAACACATTGTATATTTTCTGGCCAGATGGTCTTCAGAGTCTAGGCAAGGCTCTTACTTGTCTGTTTGGCTACGACAGCGCTGTGCTTGGCAGAAAACAATGTCTCTGGCTCCTAGGGGATGGGTTAGTCCAGGTCAAGACCCGAGAGAGGAGACAACATTGACCACACATAGTGGAACTACCTCTCAGCCACGTTTGCCTGTTGGCCTCTCTATATTGGCTCCCAATCTCTTCTGCACGTTGCAGTTTACCAGGAAGAGGGTTATTTGGCAAGCTAAGGGTAGACAAAGAGAGGAACCAGCACAACTAAATCTGTGTGCACCTGCTTTGCTGATACATTAAGGGAGCAAACAAGCTGTGGGCACCTCATCTAGCTATGGGCAAAACAACCTACCTGTCTTTTAATCTTTAAGGCAGGAACCATGTGTGAGTTAGTACCTGAGTCCCAGTAGAATGAAGCCCCAGTTCTTCCTGAGATAGTGACAAGACTGACAAGATACAGGTTTAAAATAATAACACGAGTACGACAGGGCTGCACAAGGATTAGAGATGTTCTGACTCAGTGCCAGTCTCGGTAGTGCACTAATGACAAGCAGAACAGCTTTTAATACTGGAAGGGGCAACATGAATGGAAAATAAAATGCAACAAATGCCAGGAAAGAGATGTAACCTGCACATTCAGAAAACACTGATTCTAGCTCAGTGCTGATCCTGCATTTGACAAGAGTTAAATGAAATGGATGCTGCTTTTGGCTGCTAGGGGGTCAATAAGACAAAAGTTGGTATTTGACCTGCAACTTTCTGCAAATTACCAGGCCATGTAAAGATTAGTGGGACCTGTGGTTTAGATGTTAACTATAGACAAAGCACTTTGATATATTGGTCTAATTCAACACAAAAGATTTTTCTTCTGCTCTCCTCTGGATGCATCATTGAAATAGGCTACTTTTTATGGCTAATGCTCACCAGAAAATTGTCACACTTGTGACTTGAGCACGTTTACAACTGTGTATAGTCTATCACATTAGATTTGAGTTTTGAAATACCACCTCGCTACATGGCATACAGCGACTTAAAAATACAAATAGCGTTTTAAAAAATCAGTGGGTCTA